CCGGGTGTTGCTTCGTCGGACGGGACATAGGAAATCCCATGTAAATTTTAACGTCAATAATAATAAAGCACTAAATAGGTAAATTTCTGAAATGACAACTTCATTTGACAGTTATCTTTTACCTTAACTGGTGCTCATAAGTAAATACAGGGCCATAAGAAAGGAGAAATATTTAAAAAGAAATCGGCGATAACTCGTAAACGGGCTAATCAAAAATATCTAAAGTTATTCTTTTGAATGTGGGTTTTAGTGCTCTTCAATAAACCTAAATAGAATTATTCTCTAAAATAATTAGGGAAGCCAATAATTGATCCCATTAAAATTAATATGGGATTTCCTATGTCCCGCTCGACGATGCAACACCCGGTATAGGATATATATAGGAAATGTCGTCGATCGTCATTTCCCAGTCAGCTGGACGCCGTTTTTTTTCGATCATACGGTACCTTGTAAGTAATTATTTTTCGAGAAACTATGGTTACGCTTGGTAAATTTGACAGTTTATGTCAATTTAATAGTATATTTTCGTACTTTTGTGCTTAGCCGTAAAAGTGCTTTACTTTTATGTCTAGACGTTAAAACATAGATAAAAGAAAATAATCTTCTATTAAGATAGATATGAAACTTAATAGTAAAATTTTGGGTCAAAGCGCCCCTCCGTGTTCTTAGTAGAGACTACGTTTAACCCAGCGCATTCGCCTTTTCTGCTGTAAATATTTTTTATGTTTATATTTGATTTCAAAGGATTTAGTTTGAAAGTTACACTGATATATTAGTATATCAGAGTAACTTTAATAAAACATAAGAATATATATATATTTTACAATTTATTAAATATAAATTTTGACTACAAGGTAGAAAGTAAATCACAATATTTGATAAAACTTATAAGTATACGATTTTTACAGTTAATAAATAATAAAACTATTTCTGACTATGATATTTCAAATTTAGATAGATAGAATATTAAAAAACATACCGGTATTTGCAGACGCAGGCCCAAATTCAATAAAAACCAAAATTTTTCCTGCGAAAATCGGGCTTCTTTCACAGAAAAGGTATTTTTTGATTTATCAACAATCATTGTCAAGTTGACAATATACAGGTTGTTTTCTAATTAGTCCAAAAAATTGTGATGTGATTCCTCATGTGTTCTTAAAACAATTTTTATATAACCATTGGGTCTAAAATACTTCCTTTCTGATCTATAGGGTGTTAAAAATTTAAAAAAAAATCGATATTTTGCTTAATATAAATGGTACACTACTGCTTTTTTAAAGAAAATATATTTTTTTCTTGACTGGCCATCCTTTTTCAACAAAATTGATCTTTTGTGTTTTTCTTGTTCATCAAACGGTTGCCGAGAAAAAAATAAATATACTTATTAAGAGCCCGCCTTAAGCCGTTTTCTAACGATTTTTTATTTTTTAGATTAATTAGGAAACACCCTGTATATGCATATCGCAAGCAACCAAATAAACTAGTAACCTCTAAAAATTATTTTTCCTACCACTAGCGACATACCGTGTTTTTAGTGAGTGCTAAATTATTTTATCAAAATTTCACCATATAAGTTTCCAGGCAATGACGTTAAAATGACCTTCTTATATTGTCAAAGTCTTATAGTCCTTCTTATATTGTCAATTCTTCTTTTTACTGTACCGTTCTTCTCTTATAAGTGTTTATTGTTTTTTTTTGTGATATATTTGATTGTTTTTAACAATCTTTTTACGATGTGAAAGAAAAAGAAAAGACATTTTTTTATATTGTTTTGTATTTTTTTTGTAATGTAATGGGGTTTCCCCATAGATTTAGGAAGAACAGATATCACATTATGCATTTTAACCCGATCAAACATTCGGAGGTTGACTACGTACTGTAAAAACCAACTGAGATAGAGAAGGCGACATTGCCACATATCAAATTTGCGCCCTCTACTTAGTTTGATATGCAGAAAAGGTGACTTTAAAACCTTCACCGGATATCAATAAATCTCAATTTCTTAATTAAATTAATAGTTTATTTTTAAAGAAGCATGCGTAATAATATGTTATTAACCAGAGGATATATGCGTTACTATTAAAGGACATGTTTACTGTTTAATGTGCTGAACCGTCTAGAACTATTGGCAACGTGCTGCTAGTCTTCCAGAATGAAATGAGCCGTCCGTCCCACCACCCCTCGCGACGGCCCATGGTCCGTTATAGCGTACTACGTTTAGCTTACGGTGTGTTTGAAGTCGGAATCAAGTCCGAAGTTAACTTTTCAGTGTTTTTCAGTAGTTTTCGTTTTTGTTTAATGTACTTTTGAATCTGCGAATTTTCAATATGGTACGACAGTGTCAAATGTGTGGAGAAATAAGCTCAAATTACCCGAATTTGTCTTTTCACAGGTAGATATTGTTCCCGCCGCGCCGTAATCGTACATAGGCGTCCCACAAGGGAGCCTCTCACAATTAAAATAATTTCCAATTATATTTGTTGAATTTTGATCTATTAAAACAAGAACGTAGTAGCCGGTAATTGAATTATAATTCGTCTCAATTACTTAAACCTAACTGTTGTAGATCATAAGAAATTTGAATATAAACGTTACATTTGAAACTTTATTATAAGCCAGAAAGTGACATTTTTTTCTTAAAATTGCGTCCTATTTTGGTCATTATATACGATATTCTAAAGGAATTTTGCTCAACAAATAAACAAAGGTGTTTACCCGACTTTTTTACATTTTATTGCTTTATTATATCTGCCCCTTCGGCCTTGTTTAGACAATTTTTTACCACCGTACAAATACATCTTCCTAGAGTTATTTGTACGGTGTGTTTAACTTTTTTTAGAATGGGACGAACTGTAAATAATTCTTAGGCTACTAGTTTTATACATACCTATATAGAGAGTGACCCAGGCCTCCAAAAAAGCTTTTTACCTATTACGTTTTTGGTTTGTGATTTTTATTTCAATTTTTTACATAAGATGGGGGCCATTGTAACGCACATTTTCAAAATATTTTGTCAACATACAGGGTGATTCAAACCGCAATACATATGCTTAATACAGTTCATGAAGATTAGGACATTTAACTAAAATTTGATTATCTGATGAAGCTACCTTTAAAAGTAATGGATTTGTAAATAAACGTAACAGGTATTCATTATTATGCGACAGAAATCCCATACTGTAGCACACAGATTTTATACTTTTAATGATAAATGCCTTCTATTGCAAGACTAAAAGGCAATTGCCTCGTATCAGAACCATCATAATACAAGAAGAAGACCGAAAGTCAAATCTTGTCTTATATTTTCAAAAAAACACAATTTTCTCATTAAATATTGATTTTAGGTATAGGAAGTTTGGTTTGGTTAATAATACAATATTAAACAATTATTACACAGTACTTCACAGGAAGCTATCGATTGCGAACTAACTAAATCGTTACTAATTAGGTATTAATTTTGAAAAGTACTTTTTAAGATAAAAATAGGTAAAACTAAAACCTAAACTATCATTTGAGATAAAACGGGAAGTTCTAAATAATGTTGCCTATTTTAAACAAGAAAAATTTATTTATAAGTTAAGTTTTATAACATTCCTAATTAAATTTGGGCGAAAAGAATATTTCTGTTTGCTGTAGGTAATTTTCTCAGGAAAATACGTAAATAAAAATGACTTTTAAGTCAAAAAAGTCAAAAGGACAAGTTATTCTAAAAAGGACTGTCCTTATCAAAAAGGACAAGTGGCAACCCTAGGTATTTCTGGAATGGAAATTTAATGGCAAATCTACAACTTTGGTTTGAAAATATGTTCCGGCCACCTATGTTTACAAAAATGTCTAAAATGTGCCTAAATGCCTCTTTATTCTGAAAAAAAAAAAAATTGAAAGAAAAGTCACCAACCACAAACCTAATATAGAACTTTTTTGGAAGCCTAAGTCACCCTGTAAATATTCAAAAGTAACTGAAAGTTATATAGAAGTAACTGAAAGTTTAAATTGAAAATCGACGTTGGAGTGATTTTCGAAAACTACTAACGTTTCAACATAAGTATATGTGGGATATTAATTGTATTATTATATTAGACCTTATAACAAAACTCATCTGACGAAAAAAGTGCTAATGTAGTATATTAATATGGAGTAAAAATTTTACTAATTACTTTACTTTTACTTTACTAATTAAATTCGTTCCAAAAAACGATACGCCACTGGCCATTAGAACAATCCAAATGCGCCTAGTTGCCGGGGTCGGAAATTTTAGACTTTTCTGTCTCTTCTGTCCTTGTTTGACACATTGGAATGTTTGATACACTACCAACGAGTATTTATGAATGAGATGTTCGGTCTATCTTTATAATGTCTTTGGGTTTCCCGTAAATAAAAATAAATAAATAAATAAATATATTTTTTTTAAATGTCATGAAAGTTTACAATTGGGGGTTGAAACCTTTGGTGTTACAGTTACACAGCAAAATAAAACACTAAATCACCAAAATAGATTAAAACATAGACTCTTAATCATCTGCTGATAATGCACAGCAAAATAAAACACTAAATCACCAAAACAGATTAAAACATAGAGTCTTCATCATCTGCTGATGATGCTGGTTAGCGAAACGCGTGTGGGGTGTAAAAGTAAAAGTGTTTTGGTGTATTGTGATTTAGTGTTTTATGTCACAAAAGTATTAATTTTTGCGACGTGACTGTCAATATAAAAACATCATTTTAACGCCTAGGCATAAAAGTAAAACACTTTTACGCCTATGAACAAAAGTACGAAAATATATTATGAAACTGACATGAAGTGTCAAATTCAACGAGCGTAACCATAGTTTCTCGCCTGTATGTAAGTCAAACGTACAGCATCGCCTCAAAAAGTGTCATTTTACTACTAATAAAACAATGTAAGTACTATTTTTTAAATAAATGTTAGATTCTATTTAGCCTATTATTTTTTCTAGTCTATACCTGAAAATAAAAGAAAACATACAGTGTGTTTTGAATAATAATATAGTTTATTTTTATTTACGTAATAATAATAAACCTAAGTATTGTCTAATTTTCATTCAAAATTTGTCTGTGCCGCTATAAAAGAAATGATATCGTCAGACAACTTTCAAAAAATTACTGAAAATATAATTTTCTTTTAAATTAAGTTGTCAGGGAACAACCATGATGGGAACAACTGCGTGAGTGTCAATCAGTAGGTTCTCATGATATTCACATAGGAATTAGCTTTCCCAAACTTATAGAAAGCCAAATACGGATACGTCTTGATTATCCACACAGAAAACCATTGAAGGCTATTCAAAAGTATCCTAACCAAACTATATTGCAAACTTTTAATCGTTAATAATATAGCTCGTAATCTGAATTTCTGATCGTTTGACATTAATCGGTATTCTAGGTCATTATTCCCAACGCACGTTAGATCATTATTTAAAACTATTCTCATATAGAACATAAAGGTTTTGGTTTCGAGAAAGGGGTTCATCGTGCGAAGACCGTTGATGAGATAGTTGACCATATCAAGGTGGTTGGTTTGTTTTTCTTCAACCGTTGGTGTAATTACTCTTGTGAGGATTTCATGGCATATCGCTTTGGTTTCGTCGATGTTTTTTCGACAGAGATTGTACCTGAAACAACAGAAAACTTAATTAAGTTTAAACAATTTTACAACACCGCATTATAGTTAGGAATGGACGATAATGGATTTTACGTATCGTTATACTTTATACAGGGTATTTCAAAAAACATGTGTCATCTCTCCTGGGGAGATTACTCACGTAAAAATAAGATTTATTTTTCATGTCAACATAGGTCCGATTCTGCTTCGTTTCGTAGCTACAGGGTGATAAAGTCTTAATAATCTTTCGATATACAGGGTTGTTCACCACATACGACACGGAGTATTGTAGCTAAACGACTAGGTTTTTACAAATTGTAAGTTTTGGGTTCGTTGAAGGACTATTAGAGCTACAATTTAAAAATATTTTTATAGGGTGTTTCATTTAAATTAAACAAGTTATTGCCGTTTATAGCTAGTAATTATTTAAAATAAATTTTTAGACACTCTGTATAAGGTAGTATAATTTTTATTATTACAACACAATAACTGATCAATAAATAAACTTCAGTAAATATTTAGTATTAAAAACTTTGATATCCTCGGAGAAATGAAGCCTTAAAATTTATACTGCAATTTCGCAAAATTGAAAATGTTTCAAAAACGGTAAGGTTTAAGTGTAATAAACCTTAATTAAATTTACCTTTATTTTAATCGTAGAAACTAAAAATGCAATAATATACAGGGTGTTCTATTTAAAAAAAATACAACTTTGATATTTTTTATTTATTTGGGACACTCTGTATCTTGTAAAAATATTTTTAAATTGTAGCTCTAATAGTTCTCCAACGAACCCAAAATTTACAATTTGTAAAAATCTAATCGTTTAGCTACAATACTCCGTGTCGTATGTGGTGAACAACCCTGTATTATAATTTTCTACCAAGTACCGTATGATCGAAAAAAAAACGGCGTCCAGTTGGCTTGGAAACGACGATCGATGACACATTTCCCATATAATTTTACATTTAAAATGACAGCGATCTTCATTTCATAGCCATCGCTGACGCCGTTTTTATTCGATCATACGGTACTTTTACTGATTCAAATGAAATTTTGAGGGTAAAAGTTACTATAAGTGTTACATATTTTAATGCTAAAAAAATGTCGATACATTTATCAGGGACGTGCATATGGGTTATCACATGTGCGCCACTGACTTTTTTTTATTTTGAAATAGCGTAGGTCGTTTAATATCAATTAAGAGTTATCTCTTGATATTTTGTCGAATTCGGCCTCCTTGATGAGATAAACGCAATTTTATTAATTTGCTTTGATCAAAGTCTAATAGCAACCTCCAAAAAAAAATGTTTTCTCTCCTATTTTACTGTTTTAACTGCTTTACTGTTTTTGATTAGTTAGCTATTATTTATTGGTAGCTAAAATAGTTAAAGAAACAGAAAAAATTAATTACTGATATTAGAGCCATAGAAACAGAGAAATAGAAGGAAATGGACCATTCTCTGTTCATATTATCTTTACATTTATTTATTTTGACACTTTCATATGCATCTAATTACCTGTAATTTGAGACTTGTTTGATTAATTTTAAATTATTAACATCTATACAATGGTCTTTATCAACAATACGTTGAACGACGCAAGATTTATCCAGTCTACCATATCTTATCTGTGCCAAATGTTCTTTAAATCGAGTTAATGTTGATCTTCCAGTTTGCCCAACATATTTTTGATTACAATCTTTACATGAAATTTCATAGATATCCGACCTTTCCAGTGGCGGTATTTTATCTTCAGTATTACCCAATAGTTGTAATTTATTATCAGCGCTATACACAAATTTATAATTGACATCTTAGAAAATTCTTTTTAAACCACGTGATAACTCTTTATCAAAAGGAATTGAGATATAGTATGACGTATCTTTCTCCACTTAAAAAGCCGAATTCGCAGAAATCGCAAAGTTATACCAAAGTTATACCCACGTTTTCTAATTATTTTATCATCTAATGAAGAAGAATATCCATTACACTCAGCTACATTCCTAATGTAATTTCTATCTATTTCATATCTTTCGTTGGTAAGTGGCAAACTAAGTAGTCTATAAATTAAGAAATTTAAACTAGCCATCTTATGTTCTCAACAATATGATAAGACTTGTTGCCTTGATATATGTGGACTGTATAAATAAATGAACTGCACTTGTATAATATACCAACTATATTAATTTAAAGAATAATACTAAATTTAAGTGAACAGCAAATAACAACGTGGTAGTTGCACCAAGGAACAAAAGCAAAGTGTGACAGGGTTGCCACAAGAAAATTTTTGATTGTGTAGAACTTGACCATAAAAATGTGCAGCATTGTGTAGCCATCCATGACCAATAAGTGTAAACTATCCAATAAAACCAAGAAAAAGATGTACGTTCGCCAAATTTTAAAGCATGATTACGAGTCTCACTTCCACTCGTTTGTATACGTCAATATATTCATCCCCCCCCCCCTCCGCAACTCCGTTAAAATTGATGTCACGAAAACGAAACTAACGATTTTATGGACAAATTAGACCGGTTAGTCTGTTTAAAAATTGTAAACAATTCAGGACAGTTTAATCGGCCAAATTTGTCTATATAAACTGCAGTTCTTGCTGATATGGGAGGAAATGAAATAGGAATTGAATATTATTCACGTATGTCTACGAGTTGAAGTGTGACGTAACGATGACGTAATTGAGCAAACCTAACCAAAGTAGGTACGTGTTATCAGAGGTGTTATGTATTATTTAAGGAATTAAACAATCCTGTCTCTTTGATCCTGTCTATTTACCGTTTTTGACTCGACCAATAGACGGTCCTTGATTCATGATCCAGTTCATACTCTGACATTTTACTGAACACCTGAACACTGATGACCAGGGTTCGGAAGTAGTTAATTAAGACGTAATTTACCTGATTAACTACGTGTAGTTTTTCTTCAAAAACTACGTCTTTTCCCGTTCATTAGCTACATGAAAACTACGTTAATAAACTATGTATTGATATTATGAATAATTTTCCTTTGTATGAGGTGTAATAGAGATAATATGATGTAAATATTATATTTAAAGCCATATTTCTTCTGTTTTCTTAAATACCTTATGTGTTTTAAAGCTTCAACTTATTAAAACCTCACCTCAAACCTTTGAAATTTGAAAGTTACATACATAAGTTACATAAACTACACCCTCTACATAAACTACATTAACTACATGTAATGCAGTTTATGTAGTTTTTAAAAGTAACATGTAGTTTTCCGGACCCTGCTGATGACGGAAAATGATATTTGTCGGTTCAAAATTTAAAGTTTACTTGCGGCCTCTTTTAATGTAACTTAGATAACTTAAAAGCAAAAAAAACAGCTTTTGTCAGCTGATTTACTGTTTTGGTATTATTTTTTATAAGAAATATGTAAATTCTCAAAATGTGTAGCACAGGCGATTGTGGTGTAGCTGTGCAATCATGGTAGCAAATGTGTAGCAAAATACACAATTGTGTAGCTTGTGGCAACCCTGAAGTGAGATAATTTTTACCCGTCTCGCACCCTCAGACAGGGTTTAGGTACAGAAGCGCCGTTGCCACTTCTGTTCGAACGGACATGAATTCATGGAATAAACCAAACTTAAAAATACATTGATTTACATTTTACATACGGGCTAACAAGACTCATTAGGAATATGTCTGTGTGTAATCGTCTTTTTTTCATAACCTTGACACTTACTGTTCCTCCATGCCCAAGACATATCCTATAACTCTCCAAACATGAAGAAAACATTCCAGCTCATCGTCGTTCATATCGTGAATGCCCAAGAGTTGGTTCCTGGTCACTATTAGACCCATGAACCCGAATTGAGCCAATGCCATATCTTTCTGGTTGATTCGGTACTTTAGCACGCACATGGATTTCTTACTGGCCGAGTTATGTTTCTGTTTGACGTTTTCCAGAGATTTCCACAATCTGAAATAAAAGAAAAAATGTATTTAAGCCTAGCTACTCATAATTTTACCAGTGAAGTTTATATTCTTGATTCTTTGACTAATGTGTGTATATACAGAATGTCCCCGGATTGTCTTTACAAGAGGCTTTAAAAGAAGTTTTTCTTTTTTTTTATTATTGACATTTTGATGAGTAATCCCGCTAATACTTTTCCAAATTTTCGTAAAATTTTAGAGAAAATTAAAAAAAAACATGAAAATAATTGTTGTAATTTATTATTTGCACTATTATACACAACAATTATTAGGTAATCCAAAGGATAAAACACCTCCACTGGAAAGGTCGGGTATTTATGAAATTTCTTGTAAAGATTGTAATCAGAAATATGTTGGACAAACTAGAAGATCAATATTAACTAGATTTAAAGAATATTTATCTCAGATAAGATATGGTAGACCTGATAAATCTTGCGTTGCCGAACATATTGTTGATAAAGAACATTGTATAGATCGTAATAATTTAAAATTAATTAAACAAGTCTCAAATTACAGGCAATTAGATGCATATGAAAGCATCAGAATTAATAAATGTAAAGATAGTATGAACAGAGACAACGGTCCAATTCCTTCTTCAAGTTCTTTGTTCCTACTACCCTAGTGGCGGAAATCTGTTACGCTCAGTGGGCTCTGACTCGGTTGGCTAGATTTTGCCACGCCCACTCGGTGCCCACTGATCGAGTATATAAACGCTCAACTTGTAGATTGTACTTTAGTTTATAATCATCTGCTGATGATGCTAACATGGTTAGCGAAACGCGCGTCCAGTGTAAAAGTAAAAGTGTTTTGGTGTATTGTGGTGATTTAGTGTTTTTATTTTACTGAAAGAATGCTAGAATATCATTTCTACGCCTAAAATGAAAATAACTAATTATGAATTTTATAAGCTATGCAAAATTCTACTATAAAATTCTACATCAGTAGTCTAGAATCCACACAATTCAAAATCTAAAATTCCTGATAAAATATTAAGTTTCCCTAGGGATGCAGGGACAGGTATTTGTCACATCCTTTATACCAACTCCTTCGTTCAAACACAAATAAGTTAGATAACCTTTAAAAGAAGAAAAGGATCCCTTTTTCCAAAGTCGAGTTCAACTCTCTGTGCTTATCAAAACCAGTAGAGTCAGATTACCCAAAAAAAAGGGTCCTATTATTCAAACAATAGAGTAAAGAACATCGCGATAAGCCAAATGAAAAATGAGGAATGTTCCAAAACAGAAAATAAAACTCGGGAGAAAATTGTGTTGCATAAAAAAGCCCGTTCTGCGCAAAACTGTCCCGAACAAAATACGTATCATTAATTTTAAAGCACGCGTTTGGGAATAAAAAGTTAAGTTTAGAGGTAGCCTGATGCGAGGCAAACAGAACAGAATTTACCGTGCGTAAAAAAGATTGATTGTAAATTAATGTAAAAAAAAATGGCCACGAACAAGTTACATTAGATTAGGACGGGAAGCAAGAAAACAAATTACCAGACTACTTCTTGTTTATTTCCTAATTCTTTTTTAAAAGTATTTTATATTAAAAGTAAATACAGTCGGCAATAAAGTAGGCCAAATAAACTTAGCAAAAACTAAAGTAATGTACGATAATCTAATAAATAACAAAACACTGGAAATAATAAAAGAATATATTATACCAGCGTGTACCCGCGACTTGGTTCGCATCGAATTAATCATTTGTAATGGTGATGATAAAGCAAAGCAAGAATTTCCTTCAAGCAAGAATTCATATTTTATAAAACACCCTGTATAAATTTTTAAAAATCTTAAAATATGTAAAACAACAAAATAAAATATACGTGTTTAAGAGTTTTTCCGAAAAACTCACCGCTTTTTAAATAAAAAATATTGTAATATTTAAGAGGTGGTTTCACCCCCTTGGAACTGGAATTTGGAAAAATCCTTTCTTATCGAACCTCTACACCCTAGAATCAACCTGTAGGCCAAAATTGAGCTTCTTACGTTGAGTGGTTTGAGCAGGATCGTGATTAATCAGTGAGTCAGTCACTTAAGGATTTTATATATTAGTATAGATAATTTTTTCTTTCAATACTAGTTTTTTATCAGCCACAAAAAATGTTCTGTCGACATACCAAATCTATATTTGATAAAATAAAAAAGTTATAAGGGTGAGTCATTTTTGAAACACACCCTGTATACGCCTTTAGGTTTTAAGGTATTTAAATAAAAGTTTTTTAAATAAAGATCATTAAAAATAATATAACTTTACCTGGATCCGGGTTTGAAATCGCTGTCGTACCAGATCATCATGTGCAAAATCGTCGACACGTATCTCTTGTACGCCGTGTAGTCCGAACCCGACATTTTCGTCATGATCAGCACTGCCAAACTGCTTTGAATGGACAGGCCTGCCATCAATCCGAGCAGATTACCCAAGAACATGCCAAAGATGTGTTTGTGAAAGAATTTCTGACCCCTAAACATAAATATACACTAAATTTTATTTATACTATATGATTGAAAAAAAAGGCGTAAAAGAAGGCTGGGGTATGACAATCTCTAGACTTGTCAAAAATGAACACTAATTTAACAAGGGTTATATTTTTATATTGCAGAAGGTAGGTACAGAAAAAACTGTTTTTACACACCTAATATACATTTCTTCATCATAATATGGTGGTAGTTTGTTGTTATTGAATTGATCTGCAGTTTCGTCGCATGGTGCTATAGAGCCTTTTGTTAGAAGATGTTCGACAAAGTCTTGAGCTGAGAATCCTGAAAATAAAAATTAAATATTATTTTGCGGAGTTGCCAGGCTGTCTAATAAATAGACTGTGGTTATACTAACCATCCTATGAGTATAGCTAATGTATCTTGTGAATAAAAGTTTATAAGAATAAAACTATGAAATAATATTAAGTTATTGTCGATTATACAGTTTCGTGCGTTTTACAGTGTTTCTCGTTTAGACTAGAGGTACAAAGATGGCGTTTTTTGACGCCCCTCAGCTAGTTTTTTATGAAACTAGAGATGCTGCACACAGATTTGTCCTAAACGATTCATTTTTTCAACTAGAAAAAAATAGATAACGCTTTATACAAAAAGACAAAATAGCTTCATCGACAAAGCATTTACAAAACAAACAAAACCACAAAAAATATACAAATAATAGAAAATATCATACAATACAAATCATACAATTCAAAAAAATTTACATCAATAAAATCACAAATTAAACATACATACATACATTGCAGAACACATAAAAAAAATCTATAAAAATTATACAATTTTAAAATTGTAAATGGTTATAATCACTTAAAAGTTATTATAAAATATTAAATACTAGACTTTTAAGCAGTGTGTAAGATGATCAAAATTTTAAAATTCAAAATTGTTCAAGATTAAACATCAACAAAATGTCGATGAAAATTTAGATCCAGACACCGATATTAGTTTTCGTCTATCTCCTATAGAAAAGGGTGTTTCAATTTAAAAGCGTCGAATTTGACCCACCCTGTACTTCTTCCATTTCTTGTAAAAGTGACACCCAAATATTTAAATCTGCAGACAATTTTAATTTTGTAGATTCCTACAGCCATATTATTCTCACGTTCGTCATCACCCACTACCATGTACTCCGTTTATTTTGTATTTATTGTTAGGCCCCATTTCGAATATTTCTCATGCAGTTTTCTCGAGTTTTCTAAACATATAATTCCCAAGTAGCAGTTTTGGACAAATTTTAGGTTATGTTTCTAATAATTATGTCTGTTTCTTGACACAAACGGTAAGCCACAAATAGGAAATCAAAATCTATAAATTTTATTAAATGTGTTTCCAATGTGGTGGAATTTCCTGAAATGTTTCGATGTCGAATCAAAACTTTTAGAGGAAATGTTTCGAAACATTTTTTGCAATTTGTGTCCAAGATGTTCCCCGTTTTCAGCAGCCACTGTTTCTAAATGCAAAGAAACAAAATACCTAACTAAAATACTCTATGTCTGTGTGTGGATTTCAAAATGAAAACAACCAGTAAGTATGATTCAGAGCTTTGCGAAATGCGGGAAAGAATGAAAGGGACTTGAAATCCAAAGGCAGATGATCGTACATTTTTTTAGCATTGTACAGGGTGTCCCATTTTGGTTGAAATCATACGGTATCTCCGTTATTCGTGAAGATAGAAGGGTGCGGTTTGCACAAACCTGTGCCACTTTTTTGTCAAACGGAAGATGCCGTAAACAAAATTTTCATAGCCCTCTTCGTTTCTGAGCTACAGGGTCTTTTTGAAAATTTTGCCATTTGCGACACCCCCTGTATCTCTGTTATTGTTAAAGGTACTGAGACGGTAAAAACTGTTTGTTGTAGAACTTTTTACGTAGAATACAGTGGCGTAGTCTGTTATTGTACGAAAAGAATATTTTTAAAGATATGAACTATAGTTATGTTTTCTTAAATGGGACACCCTGTATATTTATAAATTATAGAATCTGGCTTGCCATAAGCTTCTCAAAAATATATAACACTCTATATTTATTTTCACTATTTACTGCAATATTTAAAATAAATCATTTTCTTATTAGTAGGCCGTGATAAATAACAAAATCAAAATGGTACTTATTTACTAAAATGGTCATATACATATTAAAATTTTATTTAGAATTGATATATTTTACTTTTGAACTGTTACCACTGAACCTCTGAATATATTTGTCTCTTTTTTATAACGGAATTAATTATAATGGGATGGGCTTGCAAATATCTAAAAGTTTGCATTGTTAAAGCATTTTCTAGGTGTTCGACATCGCATTAGTTGCCACAATATATTTCATATTTCAAAAATTCCCAAAATCAGAAATCGAGAACGGACAAATCCGGGAATCAGGGAAGCCATCATATAGGTACAATGGTTCCAATTCATTGATTTGAGAAATAATAATTTAACACAATAATTCTAATATTTTCGTTGTAAAATTTAAAGAATGCATCCATTTTTTTCAAAGAGACCTGGTTCAAATTAAAAAAGTAGAAAAAAAGTTGTAAGTTAAGTTGGGAGGGGGAGCCCCATCTTGCTGAAAGTCTATTTCCCGTGAATTAACTAAAGGAATATTTAAAAGATATGATAGTTTCCAAGATTTACAAATAGCGGTAGAGATTTAAGTTTCCCTAATATATAAAGAATTAATTAGTGGCTCTCAAAATAAAATAAGAGACAGATAGCAGTATACTTTTAATAATTTTTTAGTTACTTTTATTATCAATCATGGCCTACCAATAAATATGATCTTTTAATATTTTTTTTAAATACTGCATTATATAGTGAAAATAAATCTAGAGTGTTATATATTTTTGAGAAGCTTATGACAAGCCAGATCATATAATTTATAAATATACAGGGTGTTCCATTTAAGAAAACATAACTTTAGTTCATATCTTTAAAAATATTCTTTTTGTAGAATAACAAACTACGCCACTGTATTCTACGTAAAAAGTTCTACAACAAACAGTTTTTATCGTCTGAGTACCTTTAACAATAACAGAGATACAAGGGGTGTCCCAAATTGCAACATTTTCAAAAAGACCCTGTAACTCAGAAACGAAGAGGGCTATGAAAATTTTGTTTACGGCATCTTCCGTTTGACAAAAAAGTGGCACAGGTTTGTGCAAACCGCACTCTTCTATCTTCACAAATAACAGAGATAGCGTGTGATTTCAAATAAAATGGGACACCCTGTACAGTGTACAGTATTGAACCTTTAACTAGTTCTGAGCTCGGTTGGCAGATAAAGATCGTGGCCGATAGAGATCCCTTTCGGGAATAGCAAATATGTGCTTGCGGATTAATCAAACGGATTCAAAAATGAATAAAGAAGGAAGAGTCAGTATTTTGAAATTTTTAAAGAAATTCTGGCAGTGAGTTCTACTGTTCTGTCCCAATAAATATCGAACTTCTCTCTTTTGAAGTTTGAAATACGATCAAATTTTGTCGCGCAGCAAGTACCCAATAATATGGAAGGGTATAACGAAGATGCGACTCAAAAAGGGCATAATAGACCATTCTAGAGGTTGATGAGTTAAGTTCCTTAAAAACTGATCTTAGCGCAAAACAGGCAGCGCTTAGTTTCTTTGATAAAGCTTCGATGTGCAAGTTCCATTTTAACAAGTTGTCTACAACAAGACCTAAGAATTTCACAGTCAGAGTACACGACGTCAATAGTGGTGTTATATGACAAAACTTTAGTGTTTGACAGGTTGAGGCATAGGAGATTAGAATCGCACCAAGATTTAATGGTGCGTAAGTACATCTGTAAAAGACACGAAAAACCTGTAAAAAACACGAAAATGGAACACCTTATAGATATATTATTACAAATTTAGTCCATTTCAAGTTGGTATATAGTAAATACCTGTGAATATTTTTGTTTTGGTCTGATATACGATACTTTCACTGGTACTATCTAAACCATTTCTTCTTCGACGGTCCCTATTTACAAACAAAGAAACTCGACAGTTATGCGAAAATTAATGATTGAGAACAGCAACTTTCTTCGGATATTTTCATCGTTTTTAACGAACTAATTCAAAAACAAGAAAAAAAGGATTGATTTAAACAAAATATTTTTCAAAATATAAAATATCTACTATAGATGTATTTTCGAGAATTCAAAAGAAATAATTCTGATATTATTTTTTTATAAATTTCAAAGAAATTGCAATACTATTTATTAATATTTATTTTATTTTATGTTTGACGGAAACGTCTATTAATACGGATTATATGACAGATTGTTTATGACTTTCTATTAGACAGGGAAAGTAAATTAATTATATGGAACGCGGTAATTTTTTGCAGTAAAATACGCAGGAAAATGTAGATTTATGTATAATAATTAATTCATGTTTGAAAAAAAATAATTTCACTTGATTTATATTGAACAGATTTTTTGAATAATACCGTAGATTACAGTTGAGGGTTGGAACCTTTGGTGTTTATTGTTTTTATTTTGATAATACCGTATGAAGACTACTAATTGTAGAAAGATTCTCAAATTTTAAATTATACCTTTTAAAAATAATTCTTACTTAATATAAAAGTAAATTACTACTTTCTTAAGGTCAGCTGGTAAGCACCGTTAAAAAATAAAGAATAGTATGGGCGAAGTAATGACATCCAGACCTTGACCTTGCCAAAATTATCATCGACTGTTATTCCCCAGCCGTCTTTGACGCCGTTTTTTTTTTTCGATCGTATGGTACTTCAAAATTCTTCTGGAGATTAAAAATATAACATTTTTACCGCAAATAGTATAATATGATTGGAAAAACAACACCATCAAGTTGGTCAAGAAACCATATAATTTTCCATACTAATGAGAACGTCTTTACTTCCAAACGGTGTTTTTTGAATCGTATGGTATTTCTTCCCACAATAATTTGAAATTTTCAAAGAATTTTTTTCGCAAAAAACCTTACATCTAAACCTGTATAGTTTTTCTAAAAACTTAGAAGAAATTAAAAAATACAAGGTTTTGAAAAAATTCTTAAAAATCATTTTTTTTTTCATTTAATGTGATGGTGTGATTATATTCATTTTTGATCTTGAATATTAATAATTATTACATTAAATTTTATTTTAGTTTATGAAATTTACTTATACAGGGTGGTCCAACAAGTAAAAAAAGTTCATAGAAATGTATGTCCTAAAATGCTTAGGCCACGCCCTCTACAAGTAGAAGTCATATTGATATAAAAATCAAATTTCTCATGTCAAAATACTCCCAGACACACATTTTCATCCAAATGTTGACGTTACTTCCGAAATTATTTGGAAAAAATCGAAATAAAAATGAAACTTCTACAACCCGTATCTCCGAAACTAAGACTTTTAGAACATACATGTATACGAACTTCTTTACTTATTTTTATCTTATATGCAGAATATGCTACCGAAGTATCCGGAATACAGTTTGGACCACCCTGTAGATGGATTAACTACACACGAAGGAAAATACAGAAAGAATCCAGTTGTTCTCAATATTTAAACAAAAATATATTTTTTAAATTTTCAAAAAATATATTTTTATCGAGAGCTACCACACCTAAAAATATTTGCACTTATTTATGACTTATCCTGTATAATAAAGCACTCAGTTACCTTTTCTTTTATTATTATTTTCCTGACAATCGGCACATGAAAAATTTTCATCCATTTGACAAAATTCACAAACTCTTTGGACACACATTTTTTTCTAAATTTTAAAATGAAATTTATTTTATCTTATTGTCCTGTCAGTTTCTTGACAAAAGCTGACTCAACTAAATTAAAAGATATTAATAAAGGATCTTATATAAAAACAAACATGTAGATTGTTTAGTGTTGTGGTATTATTAACCGGTAATTGTATAAATCGGCACAGCGCAGAGCACCAGAAACTATTGGAGTGGGTACTTTGCTTGAACAGGTACTGTTTTAAAAACGATGAAATGCATGTAGGCCTGAAAGCAGAAGTGGTACACCGATCAAACTGGCGTGAATTCGACCGAAAACAAGAAAACAACCACAAACTCGAGTAAAGTAACTCTAAAGATGCTTTTACGCGAGTCAAGTCAACTGATCAATTCATTGGAATTAATTTGGTATGAATGCAATATGGCCGTCTAAACTCGACAGATCATGTCAATTGATCAAACCGGGTTGATTCAACTTAGATATTTTTAAGTTGACAACGATTTAACTTTTGGCGTACAAGTGATGTTTTTAAAATGAGTGCAAGTAGTGGGTCAGGAAAAAATTCTGTGAAGCTCATTAATGGTCCAGGAGGCAGTAAAGATTTTCGATACTTATTTTCCCAGTCAGCAAACACCGATAGAATTATTCGGTATCTTATTCTAAGCAAATTTCATATACCGAACATGGCCAAACACACTTTTCTCAACGTTTTGACTCCAGGAATCCAAAAAACGAGGTTTTAGTCCGTCCGTCTGTCATCAAAACACTTCATTCGCCAATAACTTTGTAATTATCAGGGTTATAAGAAAGATGTATTAATAAATGTCAAATATATGTTGTTGGAAATTTAATTCTCTACAAAATCGATCTCTTGGCTTTATTTTGTATCTCCCTTAGTTTTTGAGTTATAGCAATAAAAAATCTGGTCAAGGTGACATGTCCTAAACTTCTCATCATATGAATGTATCATTTCGACTCAACTAGCAGATACTTTTTTATATGAAATCGAAAACTTTGGAAGCATATTCTGCAGATAAAAATAAGTAAAAAAGTTTGTATAAATGTTTGTCCTAAAATGCTTAGTTTCGGAGATACAGGGTGTAGAAGTATCATTTTTATTTCGATTTTTTCCAAATTATTTCTGAAATACCGTCAATATTTGGTTGAAAATTGTTTTCGGCGATTTTTTTGACATAAGAAATTTGATATAGATGTCAATATGACCTCTACTTCTAGAAAGCACCACCTACATATTTTTACAACTTAATTTTTTACTCAGTAGTTTTATACAGGTACCGAGGAAAAGTTGTTACTCTTCACAACAGTTAAAACACATGTAGGTGGTGCCCCCTAAAAATAGGACTCATATTGACATCAAAATCAGATTTCTCATATCAAAACACTTCCACACACCAATTTTCATCCAAATATTGACGTTACTTCAGAAATTATTTGGAAAAAATGTATCCATCATTCATACGAACTTTTCTGCTCTTTTTTATCTGCAGAATATGCTTCCAAAGTTTTTGGAATACAGTTCGGACCACCCTGTTTAATAAATTACAACATCTATTAGGTCTAATCCCCAAGATAAAACAACTCCACTAGAAAGACCGGATGGTTTATGAAATTTCATGTAAGGATTGTAATCAGAAATATGTTGGGTAAACTAGAAGATCGATAATCACTACAATCAAAGAGCATTAATATGGCTCAATCAGAATATTGTGTATGTTACTCAACATATTATTGTTTGGTAAAAATAATTGTACAGATGCTAGTAATAAAAAATTAATGTATTACTTCTTTAATTAGAAAATTTCAATTAAAATTTAACAACATAATTTACCTTTAGATGTATTCGATTTTCTTCGAAGGCCAGCTGTACAAGTCAAACAGAAATTACTTTCGTTCAATTCACAAGATTTACAAACTTTTTCTAGAGGCATTTTTTTTAAATTATTTCCCTATATTCACAAGAATAACTAAAAAATAAAGTAAGGTCTATTTGGAGTTGGCTCCAAAAACCAATAACTGGCTAAATTCAAATTGCATTTAAAAATAAATACCCCAAAAAAAGTGTAATTAAGTTGATTTATTGATTATTAAATTTATTTCTATGGTAAATCATTTAAAAAGTTTTGTAATTATACAGGGTGTTTCACATAAACCCTTCTAATTTTTAGAGACTAAATTCAAATAAGAATGTGAATCTTATACTGAAAATTTAGCGCTTTTATGTTTTGCCTGTGTGTGAGTTTGAAGTTTGACTTCGTATAATCTAATAGAAGATTATTTTCTTTTATCTATGATATAATCAGATATAATGTCATTTTAACAGAACGGCAACTAAAGTGTTCTTGAATACTTGTATTTCGATATATTAAATAGTTTTTTTTCGTATTTGTATTTTTTTTGCTTCTGACGATGGGAGGAGATATTTTTACCTCATCTTCAAGCCTTATTCCTAGTGGTGTAAAAACATAAAATAATATGATAATCAAAATAACAATTATTATTTATTGACTTGCTTCTAGGGAATGCAATCCCGCAAATGCGGGATCCCTCTGTGATTCCGCGGAATCAAAGTTGCGGGATTTATCGTGCGGGATCTGCGGGATCGACACCTGGGGATTCCCCTTACGGCTTGGCCATTAAAAATAAGTGAAACAAACAGGTTAATTGTTAGATTTCTTGCTGGCGTGCCTAAGTGAAGAAAAGCGTTTAACTAGTACTTGTGGACAATTACGTCAAATAAACTGCCGGGCAGAATTATCGAGACAAGCAAAATTTTAGGGTAAATTTAAAGTTGAATATTTCTTGAACTAAAAAAGATTTTGGGATGCGGTTTGGACCAGGTTTTAGATGCATCTATTGTGATTAAGATACTATGTGGTTTTCGAAAATATAAATATATTTAGCGAATTCTCGTATACAGGGTGTTTTATAAGAGTGAAAATTTGGTCGAGAATCTTTTTATCGCAAATTTACAATTTTTAAAAAATCGAAATTTTTACCATGTACGACTAATCTGTATTGAAATTAGAAAAAAACAATTTGATCGGTTTTTAATTTTTTTGTTTTAAGAAAAATACGACGTTTTTTATACGATGGTCCTAAATGGTACATTCTGCATATGCCAAAAAATTATTAATATAGAGTGAGAAAGATCAGAAAGCAGATAACTAACACAATTTAAAAAAAAACTTCAACATCAGAATAATATTTTTATTTATAAAATAAGTAGATAAATTATAATAAAATTTAAGTTTATTTAATATTAAATATATTTTTTGAACACCCTGTATACATCGGTCCAAATTTCTGTACAGATAGTTTAAGATACACGCTATATCAATATATTGTGTACAATGCCTTTTGTACCATTTAGAACCATATGTATAACTATAAATGCATATTTTTCGAAAAAAAATCGTATTTACCTTAAAACAAAAAATTTAAAAAAAACACCAAATTGTTTTTTCTAATTTCAATACAGATTAGTCGTACATAGTTAAAATTTCGATTTGTTAAAAATTGTAAATTTTCGGTAAAAAAGATTCTCGATAAAATTTGTACACTATTATAAAACACCCTGTATACGAGAATTCGCTAAATATATTTTCGAAAACCACATAGCATATTAATCACAATAGATGCGTCTAAAACCTGGTCCAAACCGCATCCCAAAATCGGAGAGAGAAAAGAAGAGCATTTATTGTTTGCAATCCCGCAATTTCGCGGATCCGCGGGATTTATTGCTTTAATCCCGCGGGTTTGCGGGATCGAGATTTTGGTGCGGGATTGCATTCACTACTTGGCTTCATTACAAATAGCAAACATAAACATAAAATATATAACATAAAACACGCAAAGTGAAAGTACTTTTTTATTTATAAACATTTATTTAATTCTGTTTTTAGTATTTGTTCTTATAGCGGCAACATAGATACATTATCTGTAAAAATTTCAACTGTCTAGCTATAACGGTTCATAAGATAGACCTTTGTGACAGACGGACAGAGGGACAGCGAAGTCTTATAGTAACAGGGTTCTCGTTTTTACCCTTTGGGTACGGAACCCTAAAAATAACTGTTTTTATTTTGTAGATTTTCTGCCATTAACGTAAACCCTAAAATTCTTTTCAAGGACCCTCAATGATGATGACTTTCTTTTTTTTTCTTAAAAAAGCCCCTTTTGTTATTTACTACAGTACGTATTTGTTATTTACTACAGTATGTGTCTCTTGAAAAAAGGACACTTCGCATAGTTTTTCATAAAAAAATGCTTTGGTTTTGCATTGTTATCTGTGCAATTTTAATTTAAAAATAGAGGCAGTTTTTCTTAAATAAGTTAAAATCGGTTTGTTCAAATTTGTCATGTGTCTTCGGCATACGCAGTATTTAAAAAAAAACTATTTTACGACTTTGTCGTAAAATTAACAGGGGAGTCAATATTTGGACATGTTCAAAATTTGCATAGGATTTCCTGTTCCCAATGACGATGCACCAACCATATTATATGTTTTTTGTATGTTGGTGTGTCAATATACTTGCAAAATTCTTAACTATGTGTAATGAATTGTCAATAGAAAAATGTAATTTTTTGCGTCAAGAGAAATAATATATTAGGTATGTGACGTATTCATAAACGTCTATTATTAACAACCTGTGAAGACATTATTATAAATAAACATTGATGGTTACTGGCTCTAAATCGCATAATAATATAGGAAACCTTCGCTAAAAATGCAGAAAATCTTGACATAGATATTAAATATACAGTATCGTTACAATATCCGATGCAGTCTATTGCAGTTTTTCACAGTGATGTAGGCGTGAAATTGAAAAATAAAACGTACCTATACAGGGTGTCATAAATATGCATACCCAATTTCAGAGATTGATTTTCATCAATAAAATATAAAAAAAGTTCCTATAAACATAGATCCGGAAATGCATCGTTTCAAGAATTAGTTTTATGTTTTTCGCGAAAATTATACCGAGTGAAATTAGAGTAATATTATTCACCCCCTGAAATTTTGCCACGAATTTTTCGAACACCCTCTTATAAATTTAAATCGCATTTTTATTTGTTTTAGGATAGGCAAATACATTAAAAATAATTAGGTACCAAAATACAAGTAAGTTTGTGATGTAGTATTAATAAATCAAATTTAAATATGTATTTCATTCACTTCAACGTTTTGATTTAATAATTTTAATTAATATTATAGGGTGAGTCTTAAATAGGTGAAAATAGATTTAGGGGTGGTATATTTCAACACCAGGAACACTCTATGAGGTTTTTTCGCAAAAAAAAGGTGTTGAAAATCGTGCACTTTCTTTTAAATTTTCCTGTATATTTTAGAACGCTTTTTAGAACCTATTCACCACAAATTAACATTTTAAAAGTAGGAAGAAATGTCACTAACAATCTATCAAAGAATGAAAACGAAATTATATACCGGGTGCGTCTCAAAAGTGGCTCACCCCCTATAACTTTTTTATTTTTTCAGATAAAAAAACGAGATTTGGTATGTTAGTACATGACATAAATTAGGATCGATTGACGTATTCAATTGTTTTTGCTCACTTACTGTTTCACCGGATATGACTACAACTGTTGATTTTTAAATGTCACCCTCGGTATATTTCTAATTTATTCGATAAAAAATGACTCTGAATAGAATGACATATCATATGTCAACTTTTGCATATGGTTTATTTAGAATTGTAACATGCGGTGTCATTTTCTATCGAATAAAGTAGAAGTATACCGAGGGTACCATTTAAAATTCGAAAGTTGGAGTCATTTCCAGTGAAGCAGAAAGAGACCAAAAACAACTGAATATGTCAATAAATCCTAATTTGTGTCATATACTAACATACCAAATTTCGTTTTTTATCTGAAAAAATAAAAAAGCTATAGGGATGAGCCAGTTTTGAGACGCATCCGTATATTATCATAGACACTCGTTTTGATTTTTAGGACTAGGAAAAATTTCAACCTAATTTTCATGCTTTTTTAAATTTTCTCTAAGACGGTATGGAAATTTGGAAAAGTTTAAACGGGATTAACCATTTTAGAATAAGCAAAATTTTTTATGAACAATGCATTTTTGTCAAAATTTCAAAAATAAAGAAGCTCTTTCGGAAAATGAAAAATAAGAATATGAAGAGTAATTAATAATACAGGGTTATTATTTTAGTTTCACACCCTTTTAAAAGCTTATAACTTTTTTGTTTGTTGGGTTAAAGCATTCGTTCAAAAAACATAATGAAGAATGCACATGTGTGATACATTTTTGAATTCGGAGAAAAGAGGACTATCTAATGCGCTACTAATATACAGGGTGTCCCATTTAAAAAGTTTTTTTTTTTAGTTTTAAAAATCTGACATGTGACACCTACTGTCATTTTTGACAACACTCGCAAAAACTTGGCTGAAACTGCTACATCATGTTTTTTGAATGACTGCTTTAACCCAACAAACAAAAAAGTTATATGCTTTTAAAAGTGGATCAAACTAAAATGATAACAAATTTCTATACCTATGTGACGGATTCGTCTTTCCAAAAAAATGCTTATTTAGAAGATCAATCTTATTATTTTAAAAATGTCATTTTAACAGAACGTCAACGATTTCTTGTAGACGTATCTGTTTTAAAAAAAGTAAAGTGTTCTCGAATAGTTGAATTTAAATATTTTAAATAGTTTTTTTTTCTTTATTCTTTGTATTTTTTTGCTTCCGACGACGGAAAGAGATAACTTTCCGAAACGTTAAGCATTTTTTTGTCTTTGTTAGGCAAATTTGTATTACTGTAAACATAACTTCTGACAAGCAGCGTCCGTTTAGGTTTAACGCGGAAGTGTTTACAAAAAATAATTATTTTATTTTGTAGATTTTCTTGCAGTGCAGTAGCGAAATACCCATAAGGGATTTTTTTGTAAAATGATAACCCTGTACATAAAAGGAAGAATAAAAGGTAGGTACCATCTACTTAACAAGGAATTTGAGAGGAATATAATGTTGAGAAGGTCGTACTCCATTTCTTGCAGGTTGATGACCCAACCTTACACGGGTAAATAACACTTATAAATAACTAGGAATTAAAAGATCTTTAAAAAAAATTATTCAACAGACTAGCGATACAACTGAGACAATATAATACTTGGAAATATCAAGTAATGAATAATAATGTTGTTAATGAGAACAGCAATTATACTATATTTTGCAGAATATCCAAGAATAACAAACAAGTAGGATATTGAACTGAAATACAGAAAACTCTGCTTCATTTGTACCACATCGTCATTGGTGAAAGTTAGCTGTTTAGCAGTTCTTATGTTCAGTTATATGTGTGCCAAGCTGATATATTATCGAAAATACACACTAATTCTCCATTAGCCATGTTATAAACTAATACCAACAATTATTTCATTAAATTTAAACAAGGTAAGTGAATCATCCTATTAAATTTAAGTGGATAAAGTTAGCCAATGTTTATAACCAAAAATCTACACGTGTCTTGTCTAGAGAAATCGAATCTTTCTTCATAAAATTTTCGCTTATTTTAAAGATTATTTATAATAGTAAAAATATTTATGTTTAAACAAATATATAAAAATCTTAGTGGCTGATATATGGAGGATATTATGAAATGGAAATTCTTCTAACGTTAATTTTAGATTTAATTGGTAGAATAACATTAGATTTTTACAATTACTGATAAATAATATCGGATACGGTTATGCAAGGTCGTTTCTGTATATAGAGATTTAATAAGTTTTATCCTGTTTTATGTTAGCTTGGTTATTAGCAAACGCTATTAATCTTTAGATGAGCGAAGGTTAATCCTAGGTTTTCTGTTATGTAGTTTTCTACTCTATGCTTCTAAACTAAAGGTAGGTTGGAAATTGTTCGAATTTTATTTTTTTTTTCTGTTTAAATCGAAAACAAATGGTTTTTCAAAGATTCATATCAATAAGCAAGAAGAGATAGCAACAAATAAAACAGTTAGTTTGCTTTAAATAGGTATCTACCTACTATCTAAATTTCAGGATTTTTGATGTAATTTTTTGAAGTTAGGCCTCTTTACGCGCGCTGGGAGTAAAAATTCAAGGCCGTGACACACGAGCTAGCGAGACGGCCGTGGCACACAGGCTAGTGGTAACGACTTTGAAAGATGTAGTGACGCGACGTTGAGCCGTTCACGTGTTTATCAAAAATATTGATATTTTAATACAAATTGTGTGATATAGTGAATCAAATTACTTTACGCGCACAGAACTATTTGTTACACGTAAAAAACTAGTTGTTACGCCCAAAAAAAATCTATTTTTTACATGTAAAAAACTATTTGTTACACGTAAAAAAATATTCTTTAAGCACTTCTGTGCACACACAATGTTCTTAAATTTATTTATCTTTATACATATTACATTTTTGGATTATCTGAAATTTCTAACATTTTGTCATAATTTGTCAATTTTTATTTTTAATTATTTTTTTAACTTTATTATATAAGGTGTTTTCTGAATATTTAGAGTAGTACGTATATCTAAAAAATTTGCATATGTTTTTAAGACAAAAAGTTTATATGAATATGGGGTCTAAAGAACTTTCTTTCTGATCTATAGGGTGTAAAAAAATTAAAAATAATCGAATTTCTTTGTGAAATAAATGGTAGGCCACTTTTTTTGAAAAAAACCTTTTTTGTTTTTTGATTTTCAATACTTATTTAACAAAATTGATCTCTTGAATTTTTCTTGTACAACAAACGGTTTTCGACACCTTGTACACCCTGTATAGGGTTTTTATTAATAAAAAAACACCAATTCGTATAAAAAAAACGGCGCCAATTAAGTTGGCTTGGAAATAACGATCGATTATTTATTTCCAAGCTAACTCTGACGCGGTTTTTGTATTGTATGGTATATCATAAGAGATAACTGTCAACGGAAGTATCGTTGACATAATAGATAATATTCACAAAATGACAGAAAAAAAATCTTCGTTTTACAGAATAATGTAACGACTCTTACAGAGCGCAATAACAAAAATTTAATTGTTTAAACTTTTAAAAATGCAGAATTAAGCAAAAGCTGTTTGTTGCAAACAACAAAACAATTCATATATTTAGGAAGTTTTCTAAAACCGTAGAAACAATGATATAATATATTTGTCAAAAAACATTTGTCAAATTTGCGCGATTTTTGAATTAACACTTATTAAACTAAATATCAAAATACCTACGTTCCTTATCAGTATCTCTCTAATCTTCACGTCTATTAGATGTGTGTATTTCAGTTGTATTAATAACAAATTTTAAGTATAAGCAATACTTTATGCAATAAACAGACTTAACCAAAAGTTTATAATAAAATAACAATGTAAAAATTTTATTTCTGGTTATAGGTGACTGAAATTGTTATTATGGAAGTATAAATAAATTAAGAGTAATAAATATGGACGAAGTTGAAGAAAAAGGTAAGTAAAAATGTTTTAATATTGTTAGATTTTAGATTTATAGTAAAAGTATAATTTAAATAATTATTCTTACCACACAAAATCATAAATATATAGTTTTTAAATTAATATGTATAATATAACAATGAAAAATACCGTATGATTGAAAAAAAGGCTTCAGTTGGCTTGGATATGAACATCGATGTCATTCCCCATACAATTTAACATAAATATAAAATGGCAGGGATCTTTAATTCATAGCCATCGTTGACGCAGTTTTTTTCAGCCATCATATTGAGCAAAGACTATTTAAAGAAACTTTAAAACCAATAAAATTGTTTTGTGTAAAAATTCATATTCTTGACAAAATGGTGAAGGAAATATATAAAAATTTAATTTTTAAAAATTATCATTTTACTTTTAGCTAAACTCTACGTTGAAAATCTACTAACAGAAGGAGCAGAAACATCTTGCGACGATTGTACAAAATCTTGTAAAGAGCACGAAGACTTACCTTCATATTATGATGAGGAATTATTTAAAAAGTAAAAAAAATACATCTAGCAACCCTTTCTGTATTTTTTTCAAAGTTTTTTATATATTTTTTTTTTGTTTTAGAGGACAATCCTTCTATCACAAGCACATATTTTCGTTTATGGGTGCCAAATTTATGGGACTACTTACAGTACTGGCCATACCAACCATTGTAAAAATTTTAATACATACAAGGATGTCGGGAAGTGATTTGACTGCATACAAGAGATACATTGCCACAATATTTCACATGACCGTGTGGTATGAGGCTGATTTTAAACCAGGATCAAAGTAATATATCTTCTTTTTTTCCACAGCAACCGTTAAAATTGCCTTATATCTATCAAAAATAGTAGATAAAATACACACACCGGAAAAGTCTAGGGATATTACAATTTTATCCAGCTATCGTCAGTAATTTTATTATTTGCATTTCTGAAATAATAAAATTAAAATAAACAAATAGTTTACAGGGCGTATTGGAAATAAAAATGCGAAATTTACCGAATTTTTCAAATTTACCTTGGTTTTAATTGAACTCAAAAAAAATACACACATTTTTTTTTATTCTAAACTGTGAAGTAAAAAAAAATAAAACCATTTTTACTTTAGGGTATGGCCTCCTCTACTGTTCATTACAGCCCTACATCGTCTCTCCATGCTCCTGATCAGGTTGTCGATCTCTTCTTGAGGTACAGCCTGCCACGCTGCATTCACGGCCCGAACCAGATCCCTACGAGTTTCACGAGGCATACCCATTCTCAAAATTCTTCTTTGGACCGCGTTCCATACGTGCTCGATGGGGTTGAGGTCAGGAGATTGTGCCGGCCAGGGTAAGATGTTTAATTGATGAGCATTGATAAACTCACTTACCACTCTGGCTGTATGAGGCCGTGCATTGTCATGCATGAGAATGAAGTTTCTCCCAAAATCATTGCCATATGGTAACACGATAGGCTAAAGAATTAAATCACGATATGTCCTATTAGAAACCTTTATGGCCTAACTGGACTCCTCCCCAGACCATACTGTTCCACTTTGATAAGGGTGCACTTCCTGAACATGATCCAACCGAATAAGATTTCCCGGTTCTCTCCATAGCCTAAGCTTTCTCGAATCCCGAGGAATTCCAAAGCGTGACTCATCCGTGAAGAGAACATTGGCCCATTGTTCATTCGACCACTGAACATAATCTTGAGCCCACAAATATCGTACCTCTCGATTTCCTCTCGTTAAGGGTTGAGCTCTCCAAGTGCGTCTGCTTCTTAAGTTGACCTCTCTTAATCTATTGCGAACAGTGTCAGGACTCACGGTTACATTATGTGTTTCCTGGAGAATTAAACTAAGCTCTGGTGCTGTTAGAGTCGGTCGGCGTCGAGCATTTAATTGTAAAAAATGATCTTGCTGAGGGGTAGTAATGCGATGTCGCTCTGTGTGCCTTTCAGCAACATCACCACTTTCACCGTAGCGTGCACTTAATCGCGATATTACACTTTGCGTTGTATTTAATGCTCTAGCTACGTCGATTTGGCGCATTCCAGCTTCGAGCATACCCATGGCCCTTAGCATTTCGTCTCTGTTAAGATGCCTACGCTCCATAACGTCGTTTAATACTAAACAGAGTTATTTGAATGAATTCTGGCCAGTTATCAAAAAAACATAGCCAGTACAGGTTAAATGCGAACAATTGATGCTAGGTGCTTTTTATACATTTGACAAAAAATGCACAAACACTTCTGCAAATATCCCAAATTTAGAAATGACTAGTGTGACTACTTCGTTTCAATCGAAGTAGAAAGAATCGGCCTACAAATATGTGGTTGTTTATTCAAAACATTTATTTTTAACTTTAATAAAATGATATCCCTAGATTTTTCCGGTGTGTGTAGTTCTTTAACAACAAGGGTAGATTAAATGATACTTTAACAGCGACGATAGGTTAAAAACTTTATTTCTTCTCGCGCGTTTTTTAATTGCTTCCCTTTTTGAAAATTTTTGTATTCTTTTTCATAAGTTATTCGGGATTTAAATGGGAGTAGTTTGGATATGGCGTTTGTCGCTTCAGCCTGAATATCTGTTGGTAATTTACTTATTTCGTTTTGAGCCATTTCTGACTCCAATTCAATCAGCAATCGACACGATAGAGAATTAAAAAATATTGACTCAAAACTGACAACTAAAAAGACAGCTTTATTTATTTGTCATATTACATAGAAACCAACGCCAACCCAGCACAATATTTCTTCTACTCTGAAGGAGCATAATGCTATCCATGTATTCATGCATGGTGGACGGAAAAGCCACCATAAAAGCTCTCTAGGGTGGGGATCCTTGACAGCATAAAATAATAAATACAAGAAGAAGTGTCAAGTCAATGTTAAATTATGGAAACAGCGTGGCTGCCTGGGTAACTAATTTTCAGATATGGCGGCTGGGACATTTGACATGACATAGACATGACAATTTCAATTTTATGAAATTTATTTCCGTTTCCGGTTTTTAATGGCGGGCTGTTCAGGAGGTTTAAATGAGGGTTAATATACTTTTTACTCTTTCTAGTAGTAAATAATACAACAAAATTACTCAAAAATATTTATTTGGAATTTAGAACAATGTAAATATGCAAATCAACACAATTAAAGAGCTATAAACCAATAAACTACTGTATCAATATTAAATATTTAAATAATATCAGAGATGCTGTGTTAAAGCGAATTAGTAAAGTAACAGTGCATTGACTTACAGAAACTTGAAGATAAATAAATGTTTTCACAGCTTCACGGATAAATAACTGGAAGCAGGAAAAAGGCAACCGGAACCCACACAAAACCTGGAATCAAAAAAAATATGTAAAAAATATAAATATAGGTACCTACATAAGACTTTTGTGAATTAAATCAAACAGGACTTGAATGAAAATAAAATGAATAAAAAATATGATACATATACATCTAATACCTCATTTGTATTTTAAAAATAATCTACATACATAGATTTATAGCATTATTGCTATGAAAATACATAATAGGTACCTATGTGATATGTAATTACGCATTTCTGTTCATCTTGTAGAAATTTAACGTAGGCTAATAATAGTTCAATAATCATAATTTACCTTGTATAACTTGCTTTCAATTGCTCAAAATCACCGATCAGTCTTTAAAGTAGAGATACGGAAAAATCCTTGAAAGAATATCCCAAGATCCTTGGGTTTAAAGCTAAAAAAATATAAAAACAGTTAATATATTACCTATTTTTACCTATAATATGGCCCATACCTGCTACACGCCGAAACGTCGATTTCATCATTTTCTTCATGTAATTAATATCATATATACTTTATTAAAGTGTTAACAAGGAACTTTATATCAAAAAACATCTTTGTACTTATAAATTTCAGCCGAAATATCAGAAACAAACTTCCAATCAAATCTAAACGGCAAAAATTAAAATGGCGCCCGACCTTGCCAGAGGCCTCGGACTGACGCTGACACACAGACAAAAGACAAAAGAACAGGACGCCGACGTGCATAAAAATGTTCCGTAGCAGAAATTGACAGAAATCATATAGAAATATTCAGATTTTTGTCTAGGACAGTCTAGAAGGCCATGCTTTCTGCCTGGGTAGAACGGCGCCACAACTGTTTCCAATTTTCCGGTTTACTGTCACCCCCCTGCTTGACAGTTCTGTTTGACGATTCATTTGACACATTTGAATTTGATTTGAAATTTTGTGGATTTGTCAGTCTTTACGGAGCTTATTTTATGTTATTTATTATTTATTCTACTACTGATAGTTGTATAAAGGTAGTAAATCTAGATGGAAATTGTGGCAGAACTTAAATTAACAGTGACACTATCGCGATTTATCGAAAAAGACTCTAAAATAGTTGGTTGTGTAGCGTGCGGTAGATCTCGGCAAAAATTGGTGAAATAATGGAACAACTTTTCGCTAGTAAGTGACTATATAATATACATACGTGTAGTAAACCGATCATTTATGAAATTCACTTAAATTAACTAAATTATATATTTTTCTTGCATTTTAGCTTTTATTTATTACTTGTCAAAGATTAGATGTCAAAGAATTTAGATACGTTAATTTGACTTCCCTGCTTCAGTAGCGTATCGGATGTTTGTGTTAATAAATACTTATTATAACTTATCTATTTTTATAAGAATTATATATTTTTATAACAATTTTAATAACTACCAACATTTATTCACAACGTAAAATAAAACAACAAATTATTGAGTCTACCCCACGTCTACCCTACATCATAGTTTTACATTTTTTAAATAAAATTAGAATGACACTGATAAACCGGAATTTAAGTCGGCCATATTTGAGGCCCATCGCGGTGTACCTAAGATTTTTGCTATGCTCCTTCCTTAGTCTTCTTATTCAAAGCTTCTACTCGTAATAAATTCCTTGAAATAATAATTTCTGAATATTTTTTAAAACATAACTCGCTTGGAAAAAATGTATTGTTTTATACACGACGATAAAATTGCATTATCGTCTCCCGAACTATTAAGTTTTAATTCAGACCTTCAAAAACCCCACTTAGGACTTTGCTGTAAAATCAATAGGGCAGCCAATATTTGGACAGTTCAAAATTTACATGGAATTTCTTGTTTCCAACGACGTTGCACCACCCGGTATAGCATATTCAAGTTTAATTATTATATTAATATCTATTCCAGATTATGGAAATCTATAGCCCAAGTCAAGGGCTTACATAACTCGGCTAGTAACAACAGTTGTAAGGCTGGAATCAACAGAATATCGCAAAAAGACATGGCTCTAACTCAGTTTGGTTTCATGGGCTATCAACTAACGAGAGAAAAACATTTTGGAATACACAACTCAACAGAGGAAGAGTGGAGGGCTTATATTCATTTGTGGAGGGTCATAGGACATTTGTTAGGCATAGAAGATAGGTAAGGAATTAGGTACATATGGAGGGTCTTGCCATATTGAGTGGGGCATCTGTAGCTCCTATAATAAAAAAAAGTTTGGTATTTTGTTTAAGTAGGCAAACCAAAATATGTACTGGGGTGTATTTGAGAAAATATTTTGAGTTTTTTTAATGGGACACCCAGTATATTATTGCATTTTTGGCTTCCTTTCTGATCACTTTACATAGTCCTAAGATATTATTAAATTTGTTTAGATAGTTTCAGAGATATTAATAAATAAATAAAAGATACCTATATATTTTTCAGTCTTTTTTAAAAAAATATATTAAAAATACAAGAAATGTCCTGGAATCAAAACTATACTAGGTATTTACTATAGATGGTATGTACTTACTTTGCTATAAATATGATAATCGTAAATCATACAGTATGTTCAAAATCCCAGGCCAAACTTTCTAAAATATAAAATAATTTTTCTTGGTTTTTTTTTAATTGAACAGCTTGTATATTATCTTTTCAATAGATGGATAATTAAAAAATGGGAATTTTTTGTATTTAGAGTATTTCAAAATTTTTAACGGTTTCGCAGATGGTCCCGGTTTATATTTCATATAGCATTTTCCACAGTAAATTTTTATCAAAGCCACCCAATGATTTTTGTCTCGTATTTTACCGTTGAAAGAGCCATATGAAATAATACTGCCTGCATCTGTAAAACCATTAAAATTTTGAAATACTTAATACAAAAAATGTTAATTTTTTAACTCTCAATCTAATAAAAATATAATACACAGGGTGTTCCATTTAAAAACAAAAAAAAATCTATACTAATAAATAAAATCCTTAAGTGACTGACATACTGATTAATCACGATCCTGCTCAAACCACTCAACGTAAGAAGCTCGATTTTGGCATACAGGTTGATTCTAGGGTGTAGAGTTTCGATAAGAAGGGATTTTTTGGAATTCCAGTCCCAAGAGGGTGAAACCACCCCTCAAATATTACAATATTTTTTATTTAAAGAACGGTCAAGATTCCGAAAAAACGCTTAAACACGTATATTTTATTTTGTTTTTTACATATTTTAAGATTTTTTAAAAATGTATATAAGGTGTTTCGAAAAATCAGGTCATTGATTAATCACGATCCTGCTTAAAGCGCTTGACGTACAACGCTGATTTTTGGAAAACAGATTGACTTTAGGGTGTAGAGGCTCGATAAGAAGGGATTTTTCGAAACTCGAATTCTAAGGGGGTGAAACTATCCCTCAAACGTATTGACTGTGGGGTGTAGAGGTTCGATAAGGAGGGGTTTCTCGAATCTCAAATTCCAAGAGGGTGAAAACGCCCCTCAAATATTACAATATTTGTTATTTAAAAAACGGTTAGTCTTTCGGGAAAACGCTTGGACAAGCATAATTTATTTGGTTTTTTTACATATTTTGAATTTGTTTAAAAAATCATACAGAGGGTGTTCCAAAAAGTTGGGTAATTTCTTAACCACGATTCTGCTTAAACTGCTTGACGTAAAAAGCTTATTTTTGGCAAACGGATTTTTCGAAAGTCAAATTCCAACGAGATGAAACTACCGCTGAAATATTACCAAGTTATATAATAATATCGCCATATTGTTTTTTCTCGTGCTGACATAAATGTGAGAAAATTTTATCCAGTTTGTATGTTAATGGAAATTCTTGCTTTGCTTTATCATCACCATTACAAATGATTAATTCGACGCGAACGAAGTCGCTGGTACACGCAAGTATTTTATATTTTAGAAAGTTTTACGTAGAGTTTTGAACATCCTGTATGCGATTTACGTTTACCATATTGATAGCAAAGTTAAGAACAGATCCTCTTAAAGTAAATACCTAATATATTTTTGATTTCAGAACAGTTCTTGTATTTTTAATATTTTTTCAAGAAGGACTGAAAAATATATATTTCTGATTTATTTATTAATATCCCTGAAACTATCGAAATATATTTACTACTACTATCATATCATAGGATTATGTAAAGTGATCTGAAAGGAAGCTAAAGATTCAAAAACATACAGGGTGTTCTATTTAAAAAAAACATCCCAATCCACTCACACTTTTTGAGCCACCCTGATATAGAAGTTAAAATATTGACATGAAACAGGCTCTACTACATACTTTCTATTTTTTTTATTTTTCTATTTATTAAGATGATGCATGATGCTCTCTTGCAGGACCCTGTATAATCTAAGTAGTTATATAAAAAATGTTTGATTTCAGATTTAATTTGTGTACGGGGACGGTTCAAGAAGTACAGGCAAAATGCGAGAAATTAATCGAAAAAGTATTCCTACCGTGTGTCAAAAGAAAGGACGCAGAATTTACAGAAATGTCACGCTATCTGGTCAATGGTTTATGGGTGTTTAGTCCCATACTGAACTTCAACGTTGCTTATTGTTCTTTAGTTATGATGCTACAGGACAGGTTTGACCCGAAAAATTTCGAGGAATATCACAAACTAACGCGATGGGAGACATTCCTGTTTTACTTAACAGGTTTTGTGTTTTTCAGTTTAAAATGGACAATATCTAGGTGGTACCACAATCACACTCTCGGTACAGAGATTTGTGGCTTATTAAGGAACTTTCCGTTTTGGCCTATTACAAATTCGGATTCAAAAATTCTCATGTTTACATTTTGAAAAAAGTCAGTTGGCGCTGTTTGTTTTTAAAACTTTCAATTTTTTATTTGCAATATATTTATTTGGTAATATATATCTTAAATAAAAATATAAAAGAAAGTATCTTTAAAATCTATCAATAACAATATATAATAAGGTACATAAAAGTTTATCCTAATCCTGATGTGGCGAGTAAAATTTAGTACTGAAAATCGGTGCAACTGTGTTGGTTCCAAACCTGTCGTTTTTCCTTCGATCATACAAACTGTTTTCAATCACTTTATCATAGAATCTAGATAATTTCACTGCATTTGACGTTCCAGCAGCTAAATACCTTGCTTGCCGACAGTCTAACAATATTTCTTCCGAATTATATCTGTTTCTGGAACTCTTATTAACAGAATTCGAACGTTTATCATCTACCTGATCTAATTTTGTCCCCACCAAGAGTATGGGCATTAAACTATTAGCACCCAGTAGATTTTCTACATCTAGATCTTCACTGTCCGATGAGACTCCACTTAGGTTCGCATCTCCATTGGCTGCTTCGCGATTCAGTAGTTCTGTAAGCCATTTCTGCAAGTTCTCTTCTGATTTTCGGTTAGTTAAATCATGAACGAGAATAGCTTGCACCGTGACACGGGTTGTAGAATACCTGTCGGGTGTTTCTGTGATTGTTACTGCCGCCCACGTCCCAAAATTCGACGAAAAACGTTTTTTGTTCCTTCGTACCTTCCTTGAATTCGTGTAATTTGACTTCAACCGAACACCCGATAGTCCAACTGGGGGATTTGATGGGTTCGTTGTGAGATGCCAGGTGTACAAACGATGTTTTGCCTACTCCAGAGTCGCCCAGAACCATAATACGAACCCTGTCGATCGAAGACATGATATTTCAAAACGAAAAAATGTATTAAAATTAAAAACAAGAAAATTTGATAAATAATGACAACCACAAAACACATACACAAGATGACAACTAAAAGGTAGGTTAGTTATTCTTCTTCTTCTTTTAATTAAGATGGCCTTGTGTCAGATTTTTCTTCTTTTTCATTTTCACTCATTTCAAGATTTGACAATGGTAACGTATTTATCCGCGCGCGTAGACAAAACAAAAATCATCGAAGAACGAAAGAACAATAAAAGGTATAATACCGTTTAATTGAATATACCCGTTATAATACAGCCAAATTTTAACTACGCATTTCCTTTCCAATGTTCAGCTTCAGGTAATACTAAAACAATAACCAAGTACTACTTCCTAAGCGATGTCTTTGAGGAAAAAGCGCTGATTTGTCCAATTGGCTGGACCCATTTGACTGTATTATAGGATGAAATTATAAGCAGTCTTCACTAAAGAAAATTCACACTCTTTAATCTTAAGTGATTTTCTCAAAATAACATTCTAGATATTCCAAAGTAAAGTAATGCATTTGAATAGTACAGATAATAAACTAGTCTCTGTTGTTCTAGATCCAGTTTCTCCTGCGTAACTTTGAAAATAAAATACCAAACTATGTAAAATAATGGGTACTTTTCAGGAGATTAAACAAGTCTTAAGGAACAGAATAAGCTCAAATAGTGCAAGGAAAAACCACTTTTTCTACCATTTCTTATAACCAAAGGAAAAGATGCAAATTTTTTAGGTTTCCCTAAAGATGGAAAGGAAAGGAATTAGTGCAAAAAGGTAACAAGGTATGAGGTGATATATATTGTGTTAAAAAAATCATTTTGTAGAGTGAAATCGAGCCTGGTCCCAGTTTCTGAAAGTACATGGACCAAAATTCAACTTTGTGTTACATTGTGAAGCACAAATAAGTCCTTTTATATACATGAGATTAATAAATGAAGTTGAAGTATAATGTAACCATTATAGGTACTTAATACAATATCAGTCTATCGTAACTGTAAGCAAAGATCTTTAAAAAATCATATGTTATAAGTAAGATTGTAAAATAAAAAAAAACAGTAAGATTGTATAAATTGTTGTCTGTAATATTAGATATTTTTCAAAATATATATGGTATGAAATTATGAATATAAAACTCTTTTAAATGCCATTTTGTTGTCTACTTCCACATATTCGGCTATTTATATAGGGAGCACTTTAGGCCCTATATGTTTATATTATGAGCTTTTTTTCTTAAAAATACATGAGCAATCATACCCTGTGTTTTTTTTTAAACCGTATATAGAAAACGTCTTGTTTATACATAGTGCTCGAAGCTTTCATCGAACAAATTTTGTATCGAAGAGGCAACAAATTCTTGTTTACTCTTGTGTTGTTTTGGGGGTTAGAAATTGTTAAAAATCTACATAAACATAATTAGTAGGGTACAGAACCTTGTTAAACGTGGTTTTTTATTGATTTCAAGGCAAAATTAGTGAAATAACAGTAAATATCTTTTAGAAGTTATATATTCTTGTTTTGGGGCTTGGAAATTGATAAAAACTACAAATACATTATTTTTACAGCACAGAATCATGTTGAATGAGGTTTTTTATTGATTTCACAGCCAAAATTGGTGAAATAAAAGCAAAAAATCTTGGCCATTACATTGACTAAGAAAATGTCTCATAGAAGTTATAAATAGAGGTATTACTGCCTTGTTTTATAATTTATAGATGTAATAAGGCCCTATTTAACTAAATATTACATTATTTCGGAAAATATCGACCAACAAAGTTATATTAATTGAAGATTCTGAAGGCTACCGAACCGCCACCATATTTTTGAATTTTATTTCAATTTAAATGGGTTTAATAGGTCTGAAACTGCTTAATTAACTATATTTAATCATAATCTATAATTCCTTTACTATTTTAAAGCTTCAAAATCGTTTTTAAGGCAAAAATCTATTTTTTATGATATTAACAATTAGGGACATTGAGGTAATTAAAATGCGATATCTAAGTGAATTTTGCTTTGTTCGTTTATTGTTTGGTGTCATTTTATTCGGAAAACACGTAGCTACATTTCCCTGGTAGTAGTTCTGTCTCCAATGTAGCGTTATATTGCTAAATTTTCATTTAAACTTGAAAATTAGGTCATAAAATTACATAATTTTTTATCGGTAAAACAGAAGAAAAGCGCCAGTTGGCGCTCCTCCTAGCGTCAAAAATCAGAAACCGAGCGCCAAAACTCAATTTTATTGGTCGTTTCGGTCGAATTTCGCCATTTCTAGACGGACCGTTGACGATGTAAGGTCTTTGTCGGTTTTTCTCCAGAATTTTTAAAGAAAAGTGCCTTTTTCTTGAATATTGTGCTCGAAAATCATGTGTAGTGCATAGCTGGAGTCGTAGAGAGGGTAAGATCGACCATTTTCCTACGAATTTCCCGATTTTTTTCGAAAAATTCCACCATCTAAAGATGGCCGGTAGAAGCGCAAGATCAACAAAAAAAAGTCCAAGCCACCTTTTTTTTTGTTAAACTTTCCGTTCTTTCTGGTTACTTTTTTATACTTTCTGTTGCTATAAATAATCCTTTTTTACGGTTGTACTGTATTAAAATAAATCATTTTCAGACTTAAATAGTTTGAAGAATATAGTATTTTAGAAATAAAAACCTTATATAAGTGAATAAATTACAGTGAATCAATTTTTATGAAGAATATTTCTAATAGTAGTGCACTTGATATGTTTTTTTAAGATATTATTTAATAGAAGAATACTTTTATGTAATAAATATTTTATAGAATAATCTAAATAGAGTTTAGAAACCTGTAAAATACAGAAAAATTACATCTGCCTGTATTTATACTAAATAACATTTAGAAAACTTATTAATATAAGGTAATAATTAGTACTTAATATTATAGGTATAATTCCATCACACAGAAATTATCCAGAGTTACGGATATTCCAGGACCATGCTGCCAGTGAAGAAGGAGATGACGAATATCAACACAGCAACAGATCTTCAAGTCGCAAAGAAACCAGGCTGCCTTTGGATGGAATGGATATGGAATGGACCAAGGATCGGTATGGGTCTGGACACGTCATATAGCTCAGGTCGTACCTGGGCTCGGGCGCTGTATCCAGACGTGCTGCACTCCGGGAGTGAATGTGCGCCTTTACACATTTTGCTCGGTACTATCGCGGGTATAGGGCCCAGCTGGACTCGAGAGATGGTAAGTACGACCATTTTCCTATGAATTTCCTGATATTTTTCGACAAATTGGACCCTCTTAACGCGGCTGGCTTGAAAGCAAATTCTATTGGCTGAATGTAACGTCATTTCTTTTCCGATTGGTCGAAATTTTATTGGGCAGTGTACAAATGTTTTGCATTTTTTATAATTTCTGCTTGCTATAATAAAAAGATGTAATTTGTTGTGGATTGACAGTTTTCTAAATTTAATGTTTTTAGATGGTTGTACAGGATATCTATGTATTAAAATAAATAATTTTTAGACTTAGATACCTTGATGTATATAGTATTTTATAAATAAAAGCCTTATATAAGTGAATATATAATAATCACTCAATTTTCTGAAGAATATTTCTAATACCTAGTAGTGCATTTGATATGTTTTTTTCTTAAAGATATTATATATTATATATTAGGGGAATACTTATTATGTATTACATCTTTTATAAGATAATCTAAATAAAGTTTAGAAAGCTGTAAAACACAGAATTACATCTGCCTGTAGGTGCTTTAATTAGTGAAATATTTAATGAAGAATGACTATAGTGAAATTTATATTGATAATCAGCTGATTTTTTTCTTGAAATTGATCTATACCCTAAAAATTAAATGGTTCCTTGTTTTTTAAATGTGTGAAATATTTCTCTATAATCTATGTTATTAATTGTGTGCATTTATTTTTTTTTCTAAATATATTTGCATTCATTTTATAAAAGCACTTGTTAGATTGTATTGATGTATTATGATTAGATGTTTTTTTTTTCATTTCAACATTCGATTTAAACAAAATAACATTTAGAAAATTAATATAGGTAGTTTATTGTTATTGATAGTTTTTTTCTGAAGCTAGTAAATTTTGCTTGCTAATTCAT